CTTGGTTGAGACACTTCTCTAAAGCCAAGTAAGATGAATCATTCAAATCATTTTCACAATCTTGGTTGTGACACTTTTCCGGCGAAAGCCAAGTAAGATGAATCCCATTCAGGTCAACACACATGAATGGGGACGTCATCACCGCAAGTCTGTGTGATATGGCCCACAAATTTAATTGGAGCACCCCGCAAGGGCCAAAGAAACGGGATGACTGTGTATCTATTGCAAATTTTCTCACAGTTGGTGAGACCAAAGTGAAATTACAAGATCAAATAACCTGTAGAATGACACTTTGAGTGAGTCCGCATAAAAAGAATGCCAATGAATCTGATTGTAGTGGTAGTGTCTTACCCTAATTATCAATTAGCTAGTATATTTCTTTACCTTTCGCTTCTTTCCAGTTTTCCTTGAAATCTTTTCATCACGCTGAAGATTAAATAAATGCAATTAAAACTTTGATATCTGGGTCAGTCTTTTTTTTCCAATGTTTACTGTCAGACATAACAAATACCTCTGTCATAAACTTAAGTATGGATACAAACTTGTACTTTCAAGTGTGCTTCTTGCACAAATTTCTTACCAGTTTTTCAGTAAATTTTCCCAATGATGCAGTAGAGAGTCTGCTGATGTTTAACTTTTCTGAGATCTGAAAAAAATTTGTTTACACTAGTAAATCACTTAAGGCAACATAAACCCAAAAGAACCAAGAATATGCACTCTTTCTTCCTTCCAAAATAATTATTATAAAAGAAGTCACTTTTAACACAAAAAGAACAATCCTTGATGTGCATGTTTGTTTAAGTGCCATTATTCTCCTAAAATTAACACATGAAAGTTTGGAAGTTGAAATGTTGACTTTGAAAGGATTTCAAACATACAGAATCAAGAAATTACCTGTTCTTTGCTTTGTCGTCCAGATGAAGGGGCAAGATCTTTATTTGGAACTAGTAAAAAAAAATCAAATAATCAAAAAGAACATAACTAAGGACATATATCTTTAGAAAGCAAACACCATCCATCACAATTCAATAAAAGTAAGCTTTCACAACAAAACCATGAGCAGTCCCACTGACCAGAAATCTTTCTGTTTCTTGCTATGTTTCTCAGCCTTTGGTATTCATTCTTGGCAACTCTTTCCTTCTTTGCTTCAAATTTTTTCTCAAACTGGTCTTCATATGGATCTAAAATTAAAATTCTTACTTTAAGCATTGGTCTCTATCACTCCATAGAAGTTTTTCTTACTCTTAAAATTTACATTAGAGCACCAATACTGAGCTAAACAATGAGTGTGTTTGAAAAAGAAGGGAACCATGTTCTTTCAAGATGATGGCTGCTCACAATAAATGGAATCAGGAGTCTGGTCAGAGAACACTGGGGCCAGTTCATCCATGGATAAATTGAGTGCTGCTTGTAATTTTTCCAAGAAATGTGATATTCCAGTGAACAATATTTTTCTTTAAACATACCTGACTGCAAACCCCTTCTTCACTATTTACACACATGGACAACTTGACAAAGACAAGGAAGCTAAACCATGTAATATTTTGGAGTCACCATCACAAATTTGTGAATTTATGATACTCAGTACCTGCATTCTGAGGAACCTCCAAAAGCCACTCCTGAGTTTCATCATTTCCTCTTTTGTATCCAAAACGTGGCTTCCATTCCTGAAGATACATTTAAATAGGTACAGATACCTGTACAACAGACAACTCTATAGTTGAAGCAGATACAAAAGTATATATTTAGACTTGAAAATGTTCCAGGATAAAAATTGCAAACACAAACACTGAAATTTGCTGAGACTTGGATTTAATTTCATTATCCCTTATGTCAACACAATAGATGTATCTGAATTTTCAACACTGAATACATTATGCACCAGTTTTAAAATGAAATCAACTTCACATAGATGTCCATGGGAAATCAATGCACTACTGCTGAAAAGGTACATCAACTTGGCCCTTACTGCAATCATTATACAAACTGATACTAACTTGAGTGTTTTTATCTAAAATCATCCTCTCACGTTTCTTTTTTGTGATGCCCTGTAAGACAACAATTAAATCACTTGTTATTCATAACTGCATGTGATACTTCCAAACATAAACCTGCTGGTGCAAACAAGACATATTATAATGCCTCCTAGCAGTGAGTAAATCCTCCAGATTCTCAATAGCTTAAACTCTTTTGAAGCTTAAGAAAATATCAACATTAACATAACATTTGAACAACTCAAAGGTGGATGATTTCTTTGTCAGTACCTTTCTTTTGGCAAATTCTTCCCATTTTGAGGGCAGTTTTGGTTTTGGGATCTGAAAAGTCAAGAGATGATGACAATTATCCAAAAAAAAAATGAACTTATAATACATATAAACTGGAACAACGAAAAAAGGTAGATTGCAAGTATTAACTAGCTTCCAATTATCATTAGAAATTAATGAATTGGTCCTAAACACACATGCCTGTTTAGCAAACTTACCGGTCCTATAACACACACACATGACTATTAGACATACTTACACATCCTGCATGTACACATGACTGTTAAACATAGTTACCAGTCACACATACACATACACACACACCCACACATGACTGTTTAACATACTTATTGGTCCTATACATACTGATGACTCTAAACATGCTTACTGGTCCTACACACACGACTTTTTAGTTAACATACTTACTGGTTTTTCTCTGGGAATAACCGTATATGGCTCAGGTAGCTTCCATGAATAAAAATTAAAAAGAAATACATAATGAGTGCTTCATGTCATTCTGATAGTAATGTAAATTAATACATTTGACTATAAACAAAACAGCTTCGTTTTCACTTGTTGTCAACTATCATGGTCAGCTATAGATATACATGCATGATAGAGTCTAACTATCATTGGACCTCATTAAAGATGGCTCATTCAGGATTACACCACCCCTCCAGGTAATAAATAGTTAAACAATTCGATCCTCTCTCATGCACCTTGATAAGTAAAAGGAAATTTGCTTTTTGTTAATGTGAGGTGTGAAAAACAGATGAAATTAAAAGTGCTAGATATTTTTTACAAAAAGCCTAATTCTATGAATTGAAATTGAAAATAGCAACTTCTAGGATGAATGTTATAAATGGACATACCTTTACAACAACAACTCCTTCAGATCTTTCGTGTGGAAGCTGCAAAGGAATCACATTGAAAGAGTGAAAACTTCAACTTGCATGAAAGCTAGTTAACTCTATACATTAACAGCATTTTCCGGTTTATTTGAACAAAGGCAGGATCAGAGTTGTCTAAGTTAGACTAGTAGAGGCAAACAATACTGTGGTACATAAAGCTAATCGTTTTATATTTTAGATTTTTGGTCGACTTAGTTAGATGTTAAATTACACAACACTATGACAAGTCCTTCATAACAGCCCTGACAGCCCTGGGTAAAATTTCTGCACAGCCCCATCCTACATTATACATTCAGTTCTTGGAGAGAGAAAACAGTGACAAAAACAATACATTGCCATTGGGAACAGATTTGTTTTACAATAGTATGGGGCTGTGCAGAAATTTTACCCAGCCTCGTACTAGTTATATTACATACATGCAACAAAATTGTAAATTCATGACTGAAAAACTTCATAGGATTATTTCGTGATACAATACCTTCCAAATAGCATTCAACAGCAGCTGCGTATTATCTCTGGCAAGATTTCTAAGAAAGTCCTCTTTATTTTTCCTATAAATGAACAGGAGTTTTAAAAGCAAAGCCAAGCCTAAATAAATTTTTCTTCTGATTACGGATGAATTTGAAACCATTTCAAGATTTCCCGTCCAATTTTCCACGTGCACAAAAGAAGTAAATTAATGGTTGTAAACTCACCTAAATTCTTGTCCATCAACAGGCTGAAGATCTGTAGCTAATAAATTCCCAATATCTAGGTCTGGCTCTACATCCCTTGTGACCTCTATTGATCTATATTTCTCTTTATTGCTTTTCTCTGCTAAGGACAAAACTGACGCCACAGTCGAATCCAAGTCACCATCCATGCCGTCCGCCATGTTGAAATACAAATAACCTAGAGCATCATGGGTGATTTTGAGCAAGCTAGGTTACACAGCGTAGTTCCCAGTCCTACTAACTATAGTCTCCTTAGCCACAATGTGAGGGTTATCCTTCATGCCAGGACGGTAACAGTTTGCGTTTACCACACTTAGACTGTCTACAGGAAAAAGTGGATCATACTACAGTAAATACAACTATTTACACTGTCCAGTAGATATTAATACCGTTTACAGGTGATACAGTCAAAAGTGGATCATACTACAATAAATACAAGGACGGTAACAGTTTGCGTTTACCACACTTAGGCTGTCTATAGGAAAAGTGGATCATATTACAGTAAATACAACTATTTACACTGTCCAGTAGATATTAATACCGTTTACAGGTGATGCAGTCAAAAGTGGATCATACTACGGTAAATACAACTATTTACACTGTCCAGTAGATATTAATACCGTTTACAGGTGATACAGCCGTCTTAGGGACCGGGGAGAGTGAGCAAAAAAAGACCGACATTTATCGATAAAGAGCCCGATACACAGCAAATATCAGCCTCTTCCTCTGTTTCATTATTCTATTTTATATAATGGTGTAACACTTTTGATGCGTCATTCATGTACGGTCGATTGCACAAAAGTTTTGTGAGTTGATTAAGTTCTCGGTGGATTAAAGCTTGTGTTCAGTTTTGCCAGATGTGATATTGTCGTTAGATACTTAGATGGATGGTGTGAAGGAGACTCACAGAACAAGTTTTTGGATCACTTTGATTGGTCAGATTAAGCTACACTGTCTACGGTGGATATTTTTTCTCTCTACAGTATAAACAACTATCCACACTGTCCAGTCAATAATAGACACAAACATCTACGCTGTTTCCATTAGATACATACACCTTATTCCATTATTTGACATTATTTTACGAGTCGCGTTGTATTTTTCCCCACAGATTAAATCTGTCAATGGCGTGTTTATTACAGCTGTTACCAAATTTTTTACAATATTTTAAATTTATTTCCACAGGGACACTTAACGATTTGCATAACAAAATTATATAGCTACTTACGATCGTAGTTCTAGAATACACCATGACAGTGCTGCTCTGTTACGAATCGCCTTACGTTTATGAGAAAGCTAATTTGTTTGCTATGCAGAGTCTTTTCTTTTAGTCACTGTTGTTAAATCTGTGAAAAATGTAATCCATCCACTGTGTGGAGACTAATAAACTATTTAAAGTATTGTTATAGAAAATACCTTCATTGACTCACTACTAAACAAGAAAAAAACGTCAACAAAATATTTAACTAAAGGCATCGGTTCTAACTACTAAATAAGAAAAACGTTAACAAAATATTTAGTTGAAGGCATTAGTTCTAAGATAGTTACATGGATGACAAAATTGTCTCACAGTTAGTTGATCATTTGAAATGGATTTGAGGTGAAAAAAGTTATTTGTATCAAAACGAATTTAAAGAGCAATTTGGTGAGAGGAGAATTCAGAAAACTGAGAAAACTAGGACCAAAAAATTGGGACAAGAACTTAATGTGATCTCTCTGCACTAGATTATACTATATTATACTATACTATACTTCTAAAGAGACGCCGGGTTCTATGAAAGCTTAAATGGCAGCCCTTGGCCGTTCATAAATCTGCTCAGGCGAAATCATTCAGTATGTGTAAGTTTGGGTCGTTTACACTCCAAGACGTGTTCAATATGGTTTGAACCTCCTAATCTACTTAGGAAAAAATCAGTTCATTTGGTCACATGCACTAATTCCTTATGAACATCACATGGAATTTAGTTGTTAGTCCAGTCTCCTGGAACAATTCCGGAGCCATACTTTCCAAATACTGAAATACGGAAAGATATCAATGTTTTTTTTTTAATTGTCGGCTTTTACGGTTGCATTCCATCTTTTTTGTTCTTTTTTGATTTTCTCGTCAAGTTTTGAACATTGTGGGGAATCTCTGAACCAATTCTTCTGATGGATGAAACACCAGGGATAGAACTCAACTGACTACCGATAATAGAAAACCCTTCCAACGGACTTATTATGGTCTGCATGCTCTGCCACCTTTTCTTTCCTTCCTCTTTCATGATGTTCTCTACCTTCGCCTTGCATTCCTCACACATTTCTTCAACTTCATTTGTGTACAGGATGGCCCTCTCTGATTCCTTTCTTCCGTCATCTCCTTCCATTTCAAAGTCTTCCTCATATAGAATACACGAAAGTGAGAAAAGACATGGTTACTCAGGTTATTCGAATCGCGTGCTGATAATTGTGCTTCAAAGCTTTAGTTTGTTTCCCTATTTTCATTCATCCATTGCCAAAAGTCTTCACGGTCTCTCTTCTAAAAAGATAGATGGAAGTGTGAAAAAAGTGAAAAAGCAGAATGGTTAATCTCAGACTCACCGTTTACTTTGTTTATTCGCTCCATTTTGGGTTTATAATAAAAATATTCCCAGATAAGGCCACCGCCCACAAGAATGCCAAACAAAGCAAGTAGAATGATGAGAAACTCGTAATCTTCAAATAAACTGGCTGTCTGTTTTACGGTCTCTATCACAGGAACTGAATGAGAAAGAATCTACGAAAAATGGGAGAAAAAAAGTGATAATAAGAAAAGTTTTCCTGGAGGAAGGAAAATCAAACAACGGAGGATGTTATTCGGTTTACTTTGGGAAGAATCCGCAGAACTTTTTCTACCAACCTCTGAAAAATTCATCGACATTTCTATTTCTCCCACTGCATAAGAAATGAATGCTATTAATGTCGTAAAGGATTGGAAAAGTATATTACAAGAAATAACAAGTTATCTGTCTTTTCAGGCAAAAACAATTCTATACCGAACGAAACGATTCTATACTGACAAGCTAGGTTTACTTTAGTCTTATGTGTTCATTACCTGTAACGCTGTTAGTTCAAAGTCTTTGCTCTTTAGAACATCCGTTGCGCATTTCTTTATCACGTTGCACAACTGTGTTGAGTTGTAGGGAGGAGTTACGCTCATTCCAATGTAGTAATCGTAGTCAATAGTCCGGCCAATAGCCAGGGTGTTGTTTTTAAGTTGCTCCAGACTTGCTACAGCCATATGTCTATCAATTAAGAAACCATTTATGGGTGGGTTTTTCTGTTTAATCAGTGCAGCGATCATTGCATCTAGGTCTTTGTATTCTGAAAGAGAGAGAGACGATGAAAAACATCTTTAAACCTTATCTTGGTGTTCCAGTGCCACGGAATTCTGATGATAGTCGCTTCTTCGAACTTATTCACCGGTCATCAAAACTGGAACCTGTCAAACTCGGCCGGTTAGGTTTTGGAAGGAAGAACCACTTCAAAAGCTACATTTTTGCGTTGTTCATGAGGTAATTTAATCGAAATTGGGTGCGAAGGGCAGAGTTTTATTTTTAGATTTAATTTTCTCTGATTCAATCCAGCGCCATTCATTCTGAATGCAGAGGTACGAGTGAGACTGTGGCGCTATTTTTCGCCTCTTTTTTTTTTTCTGGACTCACATATGATTCACAATATCAGTTCCTCTTTGCCTACCTTTGTATTTTGCCCCTTCTGACACCGCCACTTGCCTCGCCAAACTTCCATTCAAAACTGCAACCTGAAGCCGGGGGCGCAAAAATAATATTGATTCTATTCTTCAGACACTCCATTGACTTTTTTCAAGACACGCATCCCAAAAGACGTTTTGAGAAACTTACTGCCGATGCTGCTCAGCAAATCATGTGCCAAACGATCAATAGACACCACTTACCGTTTTTCCAAATAGATTCAAGTCTTCTTCAATTTCATAATTCAAAGAACTCGTGAAATTGGCTGTAAGAACCGAGAAGGCGACCATACCCAACAACATCCACAGAATACTGTACAAACGAGCTGGAACGGACTTAGGAGAAGTGTCCCCATACCTACAGACATCACCTCATATAAGTACAAAATTATCGTAATCTTTATCATCCTTTTCATTATCAATTTATTATTATTCTCAATATCATCATGATAATCATAATAGTTTCTTTTTCACGTCATTAGTATGGAAGTTAGAAAAAAATGCCAATATTTAAGGGTAAAAAATATTACCTACCCAACAGTAGTCATTGTGACGAAAGCCCACCAAAAGCCCTGCCAGGAACCCCTGATGAATGAAGGAGGGAAGTCCACAGGATTCTTGTGGCGATCCTGTTGAAAGAAATGTTTCATTTTTCACACTATAAAACAAAATGCTGGACAAACGACGACTAATTTATTTGTCGGTCAATGTCACCACCTTATCGGCCGCAAAATTGGGCTACCTAGAGATAGAATTACCAAATTTAATTCCTTTGAACCAGTCAACTAAGAGCAGTACAAAAATCAGACGATTTCGAGGCAAATTTGTGTAAATTTTGGCTGAACCACTTGAAATGCGCCATCCACTTACCAATATCCACATAAAGACCCCGGATATAACCGTCAGAATGAGTGTTAAACCTATAATCTGTCCTCCGTTAATAAACGACCGTCCAAGTTGTGTCAATGGCTGCATCTGATTTCTTTTAGCGATGTAGGCTGGTCCTTTGGAGTGATGCACTTTAATCTCACATGGATCGTTCGTATTCCTTTTTATCATAAAAGGTATGGCGATGGTTACATTTTTAGTGTTGTTCGAGGAAGTCTTTTGGAACATGTTTCCAGTTGGTTTGAAGGATATTTTAGAGGGCCTGATCATCTGGTGAAGGAATTTACCAAGAAGGCCTGCAATCATGGATAGAGATGAGGTTTAGAAAGTACGAGTACGCTTTGATCACTTACCAAAGTAATAATCCTCCACAAAATAAAAGAGGCGCTCATTGGGGATTAACCCTAAAAGTATAGGGCTCGATATTGAAAGTTGGCCATATAGGTCCTCTTCTAAGAAAGGGATTTAAGGAAAATCGACAAGTGTTTCATGCGTCAACGTGCACTCAGCGAGATATATAGAGCGCGGGAGATTTGAAGAGCTCGAAAGTTGCGTAAGAATTGCTCGATGAACGAAGAGCAGGCTATGAGCCAATTTGTTTATAATGCTGAGTTTCAAAGCGGTAATCGATGCAATGTTTTGTTGGGAGAAATTCCGTACGTAATGCGTTATCAGCTTGCACAATCGCAATTGAATTTGACTTCACGAATTCACTTGCTATGTTATTAACTAGGATGAAGTAAAAAAAAATTGAGTTTTATTTTTGTTTTGTACCTAGCTGTAGCTGGAACTGTTTTTACGTCTAGTGTGTAGCAACTGGACACCACGGAAGTTAACCGAACGTGACGATGTAAGCGATTTGGTTACGCCACGTCACTGGCATAAATATTACAAGAATGCCAGTGAAGTGGCATTTAATTTATTGGTAACCAATTGAAGATCTGTCGTGATAAGTCGGAAGATCTGTCGTAATAATATTTTACGGAAACCTCATGTTCAAATCTTTCTGTTTTGTTTTCCGTTCCCATATTTCCAAAAACTGATTTCATATTAAATTTTATTTGCCATTCCTTAAATATTTGCAAAATTTTGTCCTTCGGTAGTCATGATCTGATTAGTTTAGAAACTTTCCCGTGATTGATTTGCTTAGAAAACTCGGAACTCACAATCTAACTGTTTCATAGTTTATCCAAAAAATTCCTTGAAAACTAATACACTTTGGTACACCTATGCACCCATTGATATTTGTTAAGCAGACCTTCCAAATAGACTGAAAGTGCCGCACAGCTCTGAGCATGAAGTTATCAAGCATTACATTCATTTCAATTTGTATTAGACACATATGCGCAGTGCAGACCTAGTTTTACCCCATGATATCGTTGTAATAAGAACGTTTTGAATTCCAATGGCGGATGAAAGTTATAATGATAATGTGAAAACAGCTCGAGGTAGAGCATTACTACTTTCAAAAGATGAACTGCGCTGAGAGACATTATGGCGTCTCACCTCGAAAGATGCCTCTTCCCCGGAAAAGTAACGGGGGGGGGGGGGGGGGGGGAAGAGGGTGAGAATTGGTGGTTTAACATAATTTTGAATACGGTTGTCTTGGTGATTTTAATTTCATTTTTTTCACCAGCTGTCATACTTCTCACAGTGTGAGAGTGCTCCGGTAGCAATTCGCTATGGAAACATGAGAACGAAAATTTAGGATACCATTTCTAGCTGATATCTTTCTAAGTTGTTCAAAGTCAAAGCCGTAATATTATATTGTGAACTAATTCTAAGAAATTCCCGCCCCCCCAAATTTGAAATAACATTCAATAACATTACCTTTTTTACCCGAGTTTTGCATAACGTCGCAATTACCAGTTTTTGTTCAAGTCGCATAACATTTATGAAACAATACCTATTTCGTTTTTCCCTTAAGTGAACAAAGACTTCCTTTCAAACTGAAATTAACTTAATCAATAGAAAAAGAAATTGCTGTAGAGTAATATTTTTAAGAAACTATTTGTATAACATAAACCTACATCCCTTTCTGCTCTTCGCACTGCAAGTTATTCTAAATTATAGCTTTTACAACGTGAACTGGTATTTAGCTTGGCTTGTAGACTGATTCAAACACAAACTGTAAATTAGACATAACTCTCCGGGGAACAAATTACGCTCAAAAAATAATGAAAAGTTCTCAGTTAGATAACAGGCTTTGTTCTCACGTATTTTTTTCGCTTCCTGTGTATATAGACAGGAAGACCGACATTTCCTATTATTTTCGTTGAAATTTTAATTTAGAAGCCGGCCCTATGCAAGATCCGTCTATGCGTTATCTGACAGTAATTTGGGTTTTATTCTTCGTAATTTCAGGGATGAAATTAACCACAGTGAGAATAACAATATAGAATCGACCGCAGTGACAGTCGTTGATTGGGTTGCAAGGAAAGTGAGCTTGCGAACTGTTCTTGGAATCTTAAAACGGATTTGATCGTATGGTGCAATAAAAAAACGTTGTTGATGTACTTTCAGATATGGTGGGGAAGTGCTCCGCGTAGTCAGTTTGTTCTGTGTTATCTTGCATTTTAAGGTAGATTTGGGAACAGTAATAACTGCATATATTTAGAATTAAAATATTTATACTCAACCCTCTGTACAGGACTGCAAGCTCGTCTGCTTTGTTGTTGAAGGGGCTCGGCAATTTGTGTATGGTCTTGTCGTCCAGAACTCTACGTCAAAACTTAGCTCGGTCAACGAGAGCTGGTCACAGTTTGGGTATGAAACCATGCTCACTGTCGCCGATGTGCCAAGAAGAAATAAAAAATACACGATGCTGAACATTTCATACAGCATATCAGATATTTCTGTGAGAAAACATTCCTCGGGTTGGTAATTTACGTTACATCCTCCTCTTGACAGAAGTCTCGCCCGACCAAAATAAACGACGATTTTTTCCGTGACTTAGTAAATATGGGTGTAACACGCTCACTGAGTGGTAGATGTTGCCATAGGCGTACAAGAACATTACTGACTGGCTAGCTTTCTTGCACATCAAGTAGGTAATAGGTAAATTATTAATTCAATTGAGACTTGGATATGGCCAGCGTTTCCTCGAACAGGTGCTATAAACAAGTCGTTTGATACCAATGTTGAATGACAATTTTGGTAGGAAACACAAAGAACTATTAACCAGGTAGATTCTTCTGATTTAAACGGCAGATGTTCGTTCTCAGGATTCACTTTTTAGACGACGTTTTTCCGCATTTTGTTTTAACGTCAAAGACACAAAATCTCATTAATATATAATGCTTGGCAGGTCAATTTTTCAAAATAAACCGACGCTTTTCTTTGAATGTCTTTGCTTTGTTTTGACGTTTTTTTGGGTTTCGTTGTCGTTCTAAAATCGTTCATTGTCAGTTGTCATAACTTACCATTTGTAAAATAAACTGCCTAAAAAAAATATGAAATTGTCTCGATGGAAACACCCACTGAGGAAGAATATCTTTTATCTTATTTGTTAACCCTTTTAGTTGTGCGTTAATTTTAGGATCGCCTGGCAGAAATAAGAAATTGCTTTGAGGAGAGGAAGAAAAACCGCTAGATGGTTGATTCTTTCTTTGGTGAATTAATTTGCGGCTTGCCATCTTGAAGCCAAAAATCGATAGCACTTTTATATTGTGACATTACATTTCCCGCTAAATTGAGAAGAAGTTTAGATCGCGGTTATGGGTGATTCATATAACCAGCACTGACGAATTAACAGTTTGCAAATTGTGGAAAACAGTTTGTGTCTTCGATCCAAATGCACAGTGATTTTTGAAAAGAGAGAACTTGTAAAACTGACCATGTGAAAATTTAGAGCCAATCTACACATGCATCCAGAGTTCACCGAATATTTGCTCACAATACATTGGCAGGCCGTATATTTCTGAGTTGTATCTCAGGCAAAAAGGGGAAACTTGGATATGACTTATGAGAACTACCTATATTCGGTTCAAAGAAGTAACACTTGAAGGAATTACAAACTAAGATGAGTTCCGAGCGGGCCTGATGGTGCTCAATGATACTTGAGGGGGGCATTTGGATTTTTGGTTTTGCGGTTTTGGCTATTTTTATATCGGTTTTTCGGTTTTGTGTCAAAAACCTTCGTTTTTTCAGTTTTGGTGTTCATTGCGGTTTGCGGATTTTCCATTTTTTAGCATTTGGTTTTCGGTTTTCACGAAAAATACCAACGGGTTTTCGGATTTGATATCCTATGCGGTTTTCAGTTTTTCCTAATTGACCTACAGTATTTGGGTTTCGGTTACTCTTCGATCTGAGCGGCAATATTACGCGCCTCCACTGATCTCGCGAGACGCAAATGTTATTGAGAGGAATGCGTGACAAACTAATTGAAATATCGCAGGGATCCGTAGGGGGGTTCACGCGTCTTGAATGACGCCCATGACTTTGACCATCCGTAGGGGTTTACGCGTCTTGAATGACGCCCAAGACTTTGACCTTGCAATGTGGAGCACTTAGGTCAAGGTCGATCAGTTTGCGAACCATGTCTTCCAACGTGCCAAACGCGCCGGCAACAGAAGACGGTCAATTGTTGATTGTGTCGCGTTTTTTTACGAAGAGGGGAAAGGCGGCGAGAATTTCAGAGAGAAAGACAAGTTTAGATGCAAAGTTAAAATTGTAATCCTATAGAGGACTTTAGAGGACTTTGGTGCAAATTTCCTAAGTTTAGCAGGACTCCATTACCAGCTGCTGAGTCCGCAGATACCACGCTCGAGGTCCTCGAGAGAGCAGCTGAAATAAAGTCTATAGTTTAAGCAGGTACTAGAAGATACGAATGCCAAGTCCATGGCATTCACAACTACTGTAATGAAATTAGTGTAGTTTACTCTTTATGCTCCACTTGTCACCATTGTATCGGATCGATCAGGGTTTTAACAATTAGGATGTGAAAATGTATCGGTTTCGACAGTTTTTATGCAGTTTTCGGTTTTGATCGAATTGTTTTTTCGGTTTTTCGGTTTCGGATGATTTTTTTCTATGGTTTTGCGGCTTCTAAAAGGCCTTAATGCCCCCTCACAATTGTAGTAGTCAGTTGAAGAATTATTCACGATGGAAAAGTGAGATGAAACAATCATAAAGTTTAACGCAATTTATTTGAAGTTTTTCATGTGAGATTTAAATCAATGATGCTTGATTTAACCAAACACCTTGATTAATATACCAGACTTCAACGCAGCCGAAGCTTTGCTGGTCGACACTGTTGTCATTCGTTACTAGACCTTTATGGGTTTTGTGATGTGTGTTTAGTGTAGACTGACGATTGAAGGCTTTGCCACACACGGGACATTTGAAGGGTCGCTGATTGGTATGGATGATCTTGTGTCTGCACAGCGTACTGGAGAGACGAAAACCTTTACCACATGTTCGACATGTAAATGGCTTGTCACTCGTGTGCTCGGGCATTCTCATGTGTTTTCCAAAAGTGTAACTCGTTTTAAAGACTTTTCGGCAGTGAGGGCAGTGGTACTTTGTCCTATTGCTGGACTGTTTAATAAGAGGTTTCCGCGTGGTACGTTTTGCTTCAGAGGCAGGCCACGCTAGGATTTTTTCTATGGAAAAGGAGAGACCCTCTACAGATTCCCTTGCACTCTCCTGCAATTGGCTCCTATCTACTGATTCTTGTGTAACACTCCAATCACTTCCTGCTTGGCTAGTTTCAGTTCCCACTGTTGTGTTATCTGCATCTGGATGTCTCAGGACTTTTGGTTCTCGTTCACTTTTATCCTTTCCTACAAATGATAAGGAAAGGAAAGGAAAGTTTCATGACCAGCATATTCTAAAGGTCTTCAAAGGCGGACGACTTCAAAACCGAAGCTACCAGTGAATATTATAGACTTCATTATTTTGTGGACAAAGGATGTTTCGGAAGAATTTTGAACTTTTTTATCTCGAATTATCGGTAGCGTTTCACATACTCCATTACGTTTAAAGCTCGGTATCTATGTGGGGAACACCACATACAAAGCCTAATAAACAGGCTCTTTTTTTCCTTTCATTTATTGGTTACCTCCTCGTATCCCGGTCACTTAAATTTAAAGAATGCTGCATCAATGAAAAAGTCGGAAAAATCTCACGATATTTCGGTAAAATGAAGCCTTACCAGCAGTTTGTGATGTGTTTGAATGTTTTGGCTCAGGCAGTCTCCTAATTGTGAATGAACGAGGCATGTTAAATCAGTTTACTTTTCCTCAGCGAAGGATCCTGTTTATTCTCTTAACTCATGCACGATACTGCGCGGTGAAAGCCAAAAAATTCCAAAGCATCTCTGATTGCATTTTCATGGCCTAAATACCTTTGACACCTAACCCACCTTTTGTTCCAATATTCACCTGTCATGTTTAATCCTTCGCCTTTACTAATTTTGCAACTGAGCAGCGCCCCCTGTACTTTTTTTCATAAAAGGCTTTTTACTGATTATTCCCTATCAAGTAGGTTTCGTAGTCGTTGACTTGTGGCAAAAGTGTTTCTTTGCAAAGAGGACAGGTTTCTAAGCATTTATGACAACGCATGTGACGTAAATATCCTGTCTTATCCACGTGTAGTATTGAAATGTTACCGGTAAGAGGATCTAATAATACAACGGGCTTTAAGTTACACTTACGTATATTATGGGGCAGTATCTGTCGAAATAATAATAATAATAGAAAAAAAGACCGTGCGGGTGCGATCAATCATGTCTAGGCTTAATCCGTTTAATCCATTTATTATGAAGTGATCAATATATACGGCGATTTCAAAGGCCATTGCAACTAAACTTCAATTCTTCTGGATCTACTTTAAAAGGAAAATTACAGAAAGGATAAAGGGGGTATAAGTTTCTAAGGAAACTGTGGTGCTGCGTTTTTGCGACAACAGAGAGTATAACAAGGTAATTTGGTATTATCAGCTGAGTTGATAACATAAATTGGCCACCGTCAGGAGTTGTGAAGCTGACATTTCGAGCGTCAGCCCTTCGTCAGAGCGAATGACGAAGTGCTAACGCCCCCTTTACTCATTTTCATTTTTCGCTCTGACGAAGGGATGGCACTCGAAACGCCAGCTTTGAAACTCTTAATAGTGGCCAATTTACGTTATCACCTTAGTTGATAATACCAAATTACCATGTTACACCCAGGATGTCCGAGACTTCAGACAATGCAACTTAAGGTGTTAAAACGAAGGCACTTCTGCGAATCTTCTTTTGTTTTGTTTTGTTTAAAGGCACAGTCTTTCAATACTGGTCCGGTTCATTGCTGTTCGCAGTTTTTAAATCCACTGAGGAGAGCACTTCTCGGCAGCTGCGTTTCAACATAAACAAATATTTTCGCAAGTCATAAAAGTGATCCATTACGAATATAGAAGAACCGAGAGCCAAGACTTTGTTCAAACGAGATACCAAAACAAAGGTTATATGAACAGGTTTAGCATTGGGGACTGGTGTTGATGTCCTTTGAACTGCGGTGTCCATTGAACAATAAAAAAGCCTTACCTGGGAATGATACTCACGACTTTCCGCTCCGGAGAACAAATCGATCATGACAATTTTCTAGAAACTATCGTTGTTTTTCAGGGATGATTTGCGTGCACAATTCGTTGCTAAGGATACAAAAAGTTAAAGTTCAAGTTTCACACCGACAGCGGCGTACTGACAACAAAAAACCAACTGAGAAGAATGCAAAGATCTCCCCAGGGCCCACGACAACGTGGTCACATATTAACATGACGCACTGAATGAAGGAAGGGCGCTTCTCTTTCGGAACTTCTGGGAAGACTGAAACCGGGCTCGGTGATAAGGTATCGGTTTATTCCTACAAAGCAAGAATAACGATGACTACTTTTGGGTCTCAAAAAACCCGTGACTGAGTCGAAAACAAGAATCACATTTTCCTTTTCTTTTCAATAGCGATGTCAATCTATTGTTCCTGTTAGCTGGTACCGTGATTGTTACAATAAAAATCAAGGCCTTAAAAAATTTAACAGGCCTGAGAAGGTAGACGAAAATTGTCAGACGGTGTAGGGGTTGATAATTAAACTCGATATAGGAAATTTTAATCATTTCTTACCTGTTCAAGCATTCGTGCTTTGGAATAATACAAAGCCTCAGGGATGACAAGCCCTCACTTGACCGTATCTCTGATCGACATCAAGATTTTTTGGGCTCGAGCACAGTTGCTGTTTAAATGATTAAGAGCGCACAAACTCCGGCATTGAGTTTGAAGCGTTTTTTAAGAAGAGATTAAAAACAGATTAAAATCTCCACTCCTTATAATGTTGCAATAACTTGCCATTAGCGCCTTCCTGAATTAGCGTGGGTGATTTTTTGTTCAGGGCTATCACGTGGTGTGATTGAATAAAAAGTTCCTTCAAGTAAACTCAGTGCACAAGCGGCTACAGCTTGGGACAACTGGGATTTTGATTTATTAATGGCACAAAATGTTGATATATCATCCCCGCTCTGCCGAAACAAGCGTTTGATGTTGTTTTGAATCCGAGCACAGTTGCTGTTTTATTGATTAAGAGCGCACAAACTCCGGCATTGAGTTTGAAGCGTTTTTTAAAAAAGAGAGATAAAAAACTGATTAAGATCCCCATTCCTTGCAATGTTGCAACAACTTGCCATTCGCGCCGCCCTGGATTAGCGTGGGTGATTTTTTGTTCAGGGATATCACGTGGTGTGATTGAATTAAAATTTCCTTCAAGTAAACTCAGTAGACAAGCGGCTACAGTTTGGGACAACTAGGACTTTGAGTCATTGATGGCACAAAATGTGGATATATCATCCCCACTCTGCCGAAACAAGCGTTTGACGGGAACGCCATTCACATCTCCGTATACCGTTTAACACCAGGCCACTGACACCAACAATGGCTACGTATTGTCACTTACGTTTTATTGAAGAAACAACTTTGAGTTTAATTTATTTTAACAAATTGCTATTCATAACAAGCTTATAATGTTTGAAATTGTTGATATCAATAACTCTTTTAATCCAGGCAGCCAAAGGATACGAATTCCAAATCTTAATGAATTCCTACACATAATATAATAGGGATGGTGAAAAGTTAGCCGCACCATTTCGAACAAACCTTTACGATGGAGTTTCTCAATACATAGTGCACCATGAAAACTTTCAAAGAAGTAAATTTTCGACATTGATAATTGTAACAAAGACTAAATTGTTCATATATGGAGTAGCAAACAACTTACATAGTATTGAATCTTTCTTGACTGAGTCTGATAAGACCGAGAATCTCTAGTAAAAAATTTATTCTGCTTATTCTTCATGCTTTATTTAAATTTTGCTTTCCTGACCCATCACGTCATCCATGTTCACCACATTGTTTTCTAAAACTATTTGCTCATGTTTCTCCTCTGTCAGATGTGTGCGGCGATAATTTTCATAATGAATGTTGTCTGTGACCTCCTTTAAATCTTGCATGTGTGTTCTATGGAAAAAAAGACAACAAAAAAACCTATCAGTTTGTTGAATCTTTTACAGAATTACAAATCTCCAAAAGTAAAAGCGTCTTCTATTTTAAGCTATTCACCATCCTGGCTTTCGGTTACTCTGAGTAGTCCCCACACGTTCTTTCCGTGACCGTGACAAACTGGACCCAGGTGGTTATCTTCTAAAAGCTTATGCTCGTCCACTAATTTCACTTACTTGATTAACATGTCCCGTAACTGAGAAAATTCACAATGGTTTTTGTTTTCAACTGAAAGGAAATAATAAAAGAAATTACCTCTAGAAAATGCACAACAATAACAGAAACATTTTTAACACTAGCCAGAATGTCTGCAAATTCTCCTTACCTTCGATCAGACCCCATTTTGTCTTCCTTCCAAGAACTGGCTTTCCTGACACAGTAACGTAACGATCGCTACCAATCACAGCAAAAGGCAGCTGATCCTAAAAAGACATGGCGCAAACAGAACGTTTTGAAAAGCGAACAAGCTAACGTTGAGATAGACCACAGCCAGGCAATGTGAACTACATCAGTATTTATTCCTTCAGGCTTTGTAGCTCAAAAGCCGAAAAACGAACTCAACAAAATTTTTTTATCTGCATCACGTCTAATAATGTATGTAAAAGTAGTGATTAAGTTATGAACACACAACAAATAACATATGTTGTATTTCACTGCATCTCATTTAATGATAATTACAATTTCTGGAGAACTTAACAATGTACTAAGTCAATTGTGTAACAGTAACAATGAAAATAAATTCCATTACTTACTGACCCTTATTCTGGACGTTGTCCGGGCTTCTTCTTCATCCAGGTCATGTCGATTAAGAACGGGATAGATGTTAATGCGGTTTTTTTCTATATCCTCCCGTAACTACAATATGAACAAATGTGATAATTTCATTTTAGTTCCAGTTGTCCAAAAATGGAAAACTAAATCAACCACGAAATACATGAAAATTCACATAAGTTTGCCTGTACCCTCCTTCTGAAGGCTTCACGTTCTTCAACAGTTAGAGTGTCTGCCTTTGCAATCACTGGCACAATATTAACGCACTTGTCTAGTCGTTTCATGAATTCCACATCAATAGGCCTCAACCTGTAAAAATTTCAAGACATAAGTCACTGATTGGAATGAACAAATGCACATCACCTATCAGTAGGCCAGCCACTTCATTTTTAACACCTCGAATGCTTTTCTTGATGTGCATTGCAAACAGTTGTTATGGCAGATGTACATGTAAAGGTGTTTATTAACATTTGCAAAAGAAACTTCACATACATTCCAGACCTAAATGTACAAAAAGCAAATTGGAAGTAAGACACTTCAGTACTTGGTCAAACTTTTACATATAAAGCTGTCCATAACTTTTCAGTATTCCAGTAACTTACAACAAAGACTTTTGATGATTTGTTAGAGAATTAATAAATATATTTTCTGTTCTTAACATGAACCCACCTGTGACCTGTTGGTGCAATAAAGTACAGACAGCAGTGAACTCTGCTGTCAGGGACTCGAGGCTTTCTGTTGATGCTAGTTTCTTCTTTCAAATATTTGTTGTACTGTTCATTTATGTACTGCAGAATTGGGTCCCAGCTGTTGCAACATTATACAAAAACACATGAAATAACTATTGTCATTATCAAACAGACCTTCAAATGTTCCCTCTTTTACCTTCATTTTTGTCTAAAGAATTCCCCACTCCACTAAATACAAGTGATTCAAGTTTGAGTAAATATGAGTAAAATCTCATAGATTAAATAAATTGAACATATGCCATGAAATGCTGCTCAAATACTTACAACCAACTGGCAGGATTTGCCATAAGAGTTAGAGTACATGATGTGCAAGTACAAAACCTTATTTAGGTAATGAACAGTACAACAGCCTTACCAACTTTCATTATTGATCTGATCACCAAACCCAGGTGTGTCTGTGATGGTAAGTTTCAATCTGACTCCTTTTTCCTCAATAACTGAAAATTAAGAAATAAAATTTAAATTTATAATGATATTTATAAGGATTTACATTATTGCTGCCATAAACATTCCAGGTACCATATCTCACCCAAAAAGAAAAAAATAACAGAGAAAAAACAAAGCTAAGTATAAGATAGCAACGAAACCAAACACACCATGACTAACTGATTTGACTTCAACAGTCTTGGGAATACAGGGAGTGGCTCCAGTGGAAGATATCCTACTCAATCTTCCTTTAAATAAAGTGTTCACCATGGTTGATTTACCTAGGCCTGTTGCACCTGGAAAACACAAGAAAGGAGTCTTATGGTTTTATGTTCTTCATAACTTTGAATTAGGAAACAATTTTTGTAATTTTTGCGAAGAAAAATACTTCTTATATATGTCAAGTAAGAAAAGATGACAGGAATTTTTTTTCATGTACCAAACTAATGCTAAATGTATTATACACTGACTTGACCTGGTAAAACATTTTGTATTCATTTATAGTAGTCACACTGGAACTAAATTCTCTTGATGAAAAGTAGAATTAAAGGTATCAAAAATCAAACCACAAATGGTAAAGACAAAACTTACCAACAACCATGAGGTTAAATTCAAATCCTCTTTTGAGAGATTTTTTGCGGATTTGCTCCTGCACTGTATCAAATCCAACATAACCTTCTAGAACTGTCTTCAACTTTCCCCAATGTGTCATAGCTTGCATTGTCTCCATCATGATCTCTATAAAGTTCTGATAAGAAAGCAACCCTAAAGCAAACAGGAAAACAGTCATGATTGTTACAATTGATCCTTTGTTCAATGATGTTTCTTCTAAACAGACAAGTATCATGGCCAAAACTATGATTCTGCATGTAGCTGGAACCATTTATGAATATGATTCATGTTTTTCTTCTTAAAATGAAGACAAAAATGAAGAAACACGATGGAGGAAGTAATGACAAGGATGACTGTGTATTAAAAAGATGTTTTCAAATCAAGATGGAGTATCCTTTGTCATGTACAATAATTTAGCTAGTTTCTCACTATCAATATGATCTTGATGCATGTGGCTGGCACTTGATACCTTAATAATCTGAGGTGTCTGGTAAGAATGGATAGCTAAAACCCAATGAGCTGTTCAACTAGTAAAATCAAACCATAAAATGCTTTGTTGCACCTTTTTCAGCCTTGCTTTCTGCTTTATTGTTTATTGTTTCTTTCTCATTTTCACTGAGCTGAGCTCCCAGCAGTTGTACTGCAAGAGTTGAGATTGTTGCCACATCAACATACCCAGTCTCCTCAACATCAGCAAACTTAAACACCTTAGACAAAGCTGGAAAAATTAAACACAACATTGAGTTGAAACATACAGAAAGTTATTTTGTTATCCATGGATGAAATATTCATCACTCACCTTCAAGGACATTTGGCTTGGTTTCAATCCCAGTCCCCTCTGGAAATGTCCCTTTTATAACATACCATCCTAGAGATCCCTTCCCCCTCCCATCTGCTCCCCCTTAGGATTTCAAAAAACAGGGTTGATAAAAGATATATTTGGAGTAGCAGATCAAACACAATTCTTTCAAACTGGAACTCTCACTGTGACAATAACTCTTAATAAAATACACAGAGTGGAGTGCATTTTACAAAATGAAAGGAATATAAGACAAACACTGTTTATTTAGACAGGGAGAAGGAAACTTTAAGTTATCACCTGTACAACAAAGACCTTATTTATCAGAATTTACATGGATGTCAAGTAACTTGTAGTATTTGGATGGTAAAAATATCAGGAAAACAGGCTGGCACAAAAAAAAATATTGTGACTAAAACTTAAGAACTTCAAATCTCTAGCACACATCAGTACAATAGTATGGACACTGATAACAAATTTAATGCAATAAAGTTAAAATGTCAACAATTTGAAATTAGAACTGAACAACAATTAAACTAAAATACCCTATACAGTTTAAGATTTATGAATGAAACAACATTTTTGAAGCCAGTACATACTGTAAAAACAACTTCAAGTGCTTATTCCATTCTACTGATTGACTCCATGTGACACAAGACAATAGCAGTAGTTTGACAGGTGGTAAGAAAGCTCTCTTGTAGGGACACTCCCTTCCTACCACAATAAATTTGGTTAAGAGCCAAATTTTTTGCCTCACATTTATCCAAGATCTGCTAGAATTTTATAAACAAGGATTCCTTTTGACCAGAGCAACTTCGTTATTTTAATTGGCTCCAAAAGTTCACCGCGTCGTACATGAGATTTTTTTATCGTTGATAAAATATCACAAGTACATTTGAACGTAAATGGTTATTGTATGGTCTCACATTTTCAACGCAAAAATCTATAACAGAACGAGAAGAACTCCCTAAACAACACACATTTTTCAAGATGAGAGACATTTAGTCATTCGTTAGTTTCTGAGTTACAGAATAAGCTTTTTTTGCGGAAATTTTCAATGATTATAAACTACGCTTTTCTTTCAACATTTTCACTCGTGATGAATGGAAAACTTTAAATCCTTCAGCGCGTGAATTATAAATGATTCCCGCCTCCAGCAAAGTGTACACAGTACTCACAATCACGAAAGGCGGATTGATCCGGAAATTCCATATCCATTGAGTAGTTTTTAAAGTGAAATAACCAAATAATTATTGGAAAAACACACGTAGAGCATGAGTTAAAAGAACTGATTGCTTTGAAAGCAAAACGGGTCAAACAGAAAACAATGGTTTTGTTTTGAGAAAAGAGCCAATCGATTTGTCGCAAATCTTCATAAAAGTTTAAAGCGCTTTTAAACAATAACGATTTAATCATGTTGTGTGCTATCAAAAACCACGTACATGCATAAGTAATTCCAATACTGCAAAAGACAAAATGAAACTGCAATATATATAGTGGCTGGAATATTTGCAGGGTTAGCCTAACAGTGAAATAACGGAGGAAAGCTATAACTATTCGTGAAAAGCGAATTATCAGTCTAGACATGTTAACGAGATGCTCTAAGTAAGCGCAGAGGAATGCTTTTAAGCCTTGTTCGAAGGGCCAAGAATGTATACATTTGCGGAACGAATCAATAGTAACAACACAAAACGATTCATCAAATCAGTAAAATAAACAATTCTGACTTACCATCGGTCTGAGCCCCTGTCAGGAGGAATTGCTGAAACACAGAAAACATTTGTCTGTCAGAAAGAAGAACCACAAGGTTTGAGATGTGATACTACTTAGAGTTTACCTTATCAGAGGAAGCCATCTCCAGTCACATCGTTTGTGTTGCTGCAGTACTTGCTGTAAGCGGAAGTATTCTAGAAGTAGTTACCAGTGTCCGTCTGACGTTATGTAACGTAACGTTAAGATTGCGTGACGTACATAGGATATCAAAGGTCACGGAAGGTAAAAACCCTGCATGATAATGCGTTAAAGTTTAAGGCCCTATTCACACAAGCAAAAACATGTTTAGTTAAACCAGATTTAACTTAATGAAAATCAGAAACAGAGAACTGAGACACTGAATCTTCCCTAGGTTTCAAGCAATCACTACCTTGTATTTTCAATGTTCTAAATTACAGTCGACAAACATCGCTTTAAGCATCTTCTATGAAGAAAACAATTTTTAACAGTGATTGACAAAACGGCTTTGATGCATGTTTGAGCTTTGGTGTGATTGGGGTATTTATTGCACAGTCTCTGTCTGTCTGTCTGTCTGTTTGTCTGTCTCTCTCTCTCTAGCCAAACGGTTTGTGTTTTACCAAAAAAAAAAAAAAATAAAAACAACGAGGAGTACCCACACAGTATCTCTTCTATACGCAGATGATATTGAAACAAAGCTTTTGATGTTCCAGATGATTGGTCTATAAACAACTTCCCTCTTGCAGCCTCACTCACTGTTCACAAACCCCTGCGGCAGCGCCCACCAAGAGCTTCAATTATTATATTTTGCAAAATATCTCTGTAAATTGATCCTCTTTATGTGTAGTTAATCAGCGGTTCTGAGGAATACACGAGATTTTAATAAAATACTCACAATCTCCAAGCGGATACGGATAGGCTGATTACAACCTCAGTATTTGATGACAAAATGTAAAGATACTGAATCAAATTAAATACTGCTTCAAATGTTCATAATTGTGGAAAGTTGTTTATCATGGTTACGTCGAGGTCTGAAATTTTCCTACGTCATTATTGAAATACAGGATGGAATGCTTCCTATGAGGCAAAAAAATTAAAGCGTTAGTTCACTATCACTGGGTTACAGATGTTGATAGACTGAGCCCGGGAGTTTTCTGATAACGTGAATGACGTCATGCTTTGTTACGAGTTCTCTCACAACGTAAAGACGCATTCCTGCTTAGAGATAAGACTGGAGTTGTTTTCGTCTAACAGATGGAAGTGGAACTAAAACAAACAATGCAAATTTCAAGTTCAGCTGCGCTGAGTGGGCACAATGAGTTGTTTACATACGTGAACCGTTGATTTCGTGACGTGAGCAGAAAACCCCCTTGAGAGAATAACCGTAGCGTGATGGAATAGAAAGAATGTCAGTTTGACTGAAGATCCTGTTGTATGACACTTTTTTGAGGTTTAAAACACGAAGTAAATCGAGGCAATTGGGACATATCAGGTATGTAGAAGACCTTCGATGACAAATTTCTTGGGAGACCCAGTTCATCAAGGATATCAGAACGTATTTTCTGTTTCTTTTTTCACACTGTAACTGAAAGTGGTCACATGGTTGGGAGTGATAACTAATTAGTCGAGATTATGTTATTGACTTGCGGTGCGATTTAGATAACTGACGGACACAACCACACCAAGAAGAGAAAAATCTGTTGAAAACCTTTATTGAGATAACAGTTTTTCTGTAAGTAACCCTGTGAGTTGCTTATTTGCGGATATCTTTCCCTGAAAAGATTTGCACATATTCTTTTGTATGACAGTGTTTCTCAAGCAGTTACCTTTTCGAATAAAATACCGGGTGAAGATAATCAGTCCTCTTAAATTCGCATTACGGCCAGTTGTTTCACATTCTTGGGCCGATAAGAAAATTTGAAGATAACCTTCACCTGACTTTGTAGCGAAGTCGGTTCCTGTTTGTTTACAGTTGAAGTATTCCGCATAATAATAACGTGTCGGTATCGACTCATCTTTTTATTTCCGGTAATCAAAGCAAGCTTTGCTTTAATTGTACAAGGTCAGTCATCGATCACCTCGACTGCAAGGAAAGTGTTCGCGAGAATCACGACTTGTTTTTTACACCAAAGATTTCGTATTTTTTAGCAAGTGGACTTAAACAAAAGAGCGATGAATTACAACCTTCAGTGAACCTCAGCAGGAAAGAACTTTTACTAAAACTTTTTTCGATCTGTCCAGCTGAAGGTATCTTGAAACTGTCTAGGAGAAGCTGACCGTTGGAGCTTTGCTGAGCCGTATTCCTGAATAGATAGAGGAAGACTGTGTCTGGATTTTATTCTCTTGCTGATTAAGGTAATTAAAGAGCATGAACGCCCGACTTAAAGCCAAGATATCAAATCGACGGAGCTTTGTGGAAAGGAAGAAAGCTGTTTGCGATGAGACAAGATTTCTTATAATCTCTGGAAACAGTCCCGAGGCCGCTGAACAGAAACAACTATTTGATCCAAGTTGCTTGAGCTCGATGGTTCTAGATCTTCAGTCTGTGAAAGGCTCAAGCTCAATTGTACAGAATCAGTGTTTTGCAACAACTCGAGCGCCGACTGAAGTGAAGTGTAAACCAGGATCTCGTGACACATGCGGCAGTTATCCGCATGTCCTTACAGCTGTTAGTGGCGAAGTAAAGTGTTGGCTTCCAAGCCCGTTACTGATGAAGCGTCGAAACGCGATTTGCGATGAGATCGAAAAAAGAACAATAGCTATGTCAGGTAGAACTTTAAGGCAAAAGAGAGTTGATATGCTTCGCTCCATTGCGCTGACACAATTCTCTTTGTTATGAATATTTTTCTACTAATTCAATGTCAAAGATTCATCAATTTCGCTTTTATGTTTCATGTTATACAAAATTCTTAGTCTGAAGCATAACTTGCACTAGAAAAAGTGCATTCAACTCCCTCCAAAAAATTAAGACAATCCTAGTTCATAATCCCTTAACTATACGGATTTCAGTTTACAAGGTAGACGTGTAGGGCGGTTACTTTACATAAGGATTCTTAAGTACCCTGTCTTCTAGAAAATACGTCTTTAATTCAAACAATGTATCTCAGCAAAATTTGTTCCGACCTGTAATAATATGTAATTGACTAATACAAGTTACATTATCATTGTTTATAATATCCAGTGTTGTTACCAAACGGGATGAATCAAAGCTCTTCAGTGGAAGTCGGGTGATTTTTCAAACAGCATTCTCTAAATTTCATGTCATAACTCGATGAATTCCCTAGGAGTTGAAAAATGCTGGAAAAATCGATCTGTATTTTGTTTGGGTGTAAATGATCATCTTTGACCTCTTTGGCGTCAATCACAATGCCGTGGGCAGTTTAACTGATACAGTAATGGTGACTCATTGACCAAAACCGAAAATATGTGAATTTTGATAAAAGAACCGAATACTGATATTGAAAAGTAATTTGATTTGCCGTGTGATAGAGAAAGTATTCCTCAAAGGCGATTAAACTTCCAGCGTGGTGTGGCTGTACAATAGAGTGTTATTAGGTTTGCAATACGTACATATTCAAGCACAACTATTCTCAAAGCCCTTTAGAGTTGATGCAATCAATGCTACGCGATGAATTCACCCTTATGTAGCAGATTAAAAGCTGTGATTTGATTAAAAGCGGTTTGGATTTACGGGGGCAACCCAGCGTCTAATAAAAAATTATAATTATACGTGATTAGAATGAATACACAGATAAATACTACGAAATCACTACTTTCGGAGAGTAATACATATACATATTAAATGTCTCAGGATCATTTTGTTCTTCATCGTACTTACTTAGTGGTGACCTTTCTCAGCACCACAGTTCAATCGGTAAATTCTTACCTTTGTCTTTATCAGATTTTCGCGACTCCTAAATGAGATTAAGAACAAAAATCCGATTTGAAGACTTAACCAGAAGAAAAAGAACAATCTGCGGAATGTGCAGTCTAGAAAACCCGATTAAATCTTCTGCAATGGAAGGAATTCAAGGATCGTTAGTCATACTGTTATGTTATAAACTCTCGCAACATGAATTTTTTCCCTTTTCTTTCTTTCTTTCTCAAGGTGCAGTTCAGGGAGGTTTTTGGTCGGGAGAGAATTTATACTCATTCACAGATCTACAGTCTGGTCAGGAATAAAAATATCGCCGGCGGTTGAAAATAAAACCTCAACAAAAATATTGTATTATGTTTATATTCTAAATTCAAGTGAATGGAGGAAAATGCAATAACATCATAGAGTGAAATCAAAATGAGACAATGAAAACAAAGACTACAAGATAAAAAAAACACAACAAAAACCAAACTAAACAAAAACTCTTAAAACTGGGCCTGACAGAATATCAGAGATAAGATAAGAAAAGATTTTTCATGTAAGTTTCCCAACCCAGCAGCCTAAGAATCCAAGAATCATCAACAATCATTTAACCCCTATAGGACTCCTAGACGCATAAAGGAAAAAATCCCCTCAGGAGACTTCGTATTATCTGCCTTTTAGAAAACGCCCTCGATCTATTTAACCAATTAACCAAGAGTTTTAAGGGCTGACATATTCATGGAAGCAAAGCTGAAGTTTTTAGGTTTTGTAAATAAAAATGCAGATCTGTTTGTTTGAAGAGTTAAAAGCTTTTAAAAGGCTGAGTTTTTCTCTAAGCGCGTGTATATGAAATCAGTCTGATACGAAATGAAACGGATGATGATTTTTAACAACTGTGGCAGAACCAAAACTCACAGAACTACCTCCCTCTTAGACAACTCATCCCTAACTAATTTACCGGTGTATTTCATCGAGGATGGTTTTTTTGCTTTTTGTAGTGCACCGCAAAACTTGAATCAGCGTTCTGTCTGAGAATAACGCTTCCTGAAGTTTATCAATAAAGGGCAAAATTACTGAGCGCTGATTGGTTGAGAGAGAGGGCATTTTTTTCTTAATCGAGGGCATTTTTAGTAATCAAGAGAGGGCATGATTACCTGTTAATGATTGGCTAATCCGTTGCATAGCAACCGTTCGTTATCTTGAAATTTGTTATCAAGTTTTTGTTGCAACAATGGCTTGTCGTGTTATTGAAGCGGACGACGAATTAATTGAACTTTTGAAATGCGAAAGTGAAAACAAAAACACAAAACGAAGCACAGGCTATTGGTAAAAATAGACTGCGCGCATGATTTTCCTTCGTATAAATTTTGCCCTTTATTGATAAACAAGTAATCCCATGAGACCTCGTACTATTAAGGATTAATTGCACTTGAGTTTTCAAAATTTTCCAAATTGCCCTCGTCGCTTCGCGACTCGGGCAATTTTGGAAAATTTTGAAAACTCTCGTGCAATTAATCCTTAATAGTACTTGGCCTCATGTGATTACCTATACGTAGCGATAGGCTTTTAGGTTGTTTGTGACCATTCTCCTGTGTCTATTTTCGCTTTGTTACCAGTTTGCGAGGTTACTTGCCATATCAATTTTTTTGTCGGCTGCACGCGCTTCAAAGAAGGATACCGTCTTTGCTTAAAGTTCTGTTCTAACAACTGCGCTTTCAAAGATTCTAAACAAAGCAATTTTACACTAAATCTTTCAAATGGCCAGTTAATTTTTCTTTGCTCAGCTTTTGCACGCAGCAGATGTTTCATTGTTTTCATACGAACGGTTTAACACCTAAATTTACTCTATTTATGTAATGCTCCATATATGGTTTGAAACGACAAACATAAAGTGGCAACCTTGTTCATTTTACACGTTTTAGAGATTCGAAAAGTCTAGCGCGATTTGTAGCGCTTGCTTGGAGGAAATTCATTCCTATTTCTGACCATCCGTCGTTACTAGAAATGCAAGAATTGTCACCAGTATCGGTGAAAACTGTTTTGCTTATCGCCGTCCTGATGGCGACAGGTAAGAAAAGTGAAATTACTGCGCAAGGTTAGGAAAGATTTCCGTATAAGCCCATACCATTCTATATCAAAGCTGTAGACTTAAAGGCAATCTACTGTTTCCGCTATTGTTTCTTTGTCTAAAACTGTATGTATAATGAAGATCACATGGCTTTCCCAGGGTTAATTTCGAGGCACAAAGAGAGCGGTTCTTTATCTAGGCTAAATTCGTAAAGATATATTTTGCGTTTAGCCAAAACTTCACATTTGCCTCCGGTCGAGTCTTGAAGCAAAAGTAACTAACAGCAATATTAGGAAACAGCCTATCAGCATTCGTCAGAGTTTATCACCATTTATTCCGCTGAGTTAAGGAAATCGAAACGCAGGCCAGATGCCGTCAAAATAACATCCCAACACCGATGAACCCTATCTTTGTAGTTCATCCGACACAAAAACTATGGTGCTTTTTAAACGCACAATCTTTCGAGTGCATTTCAAGACACATCTATATCTGAATACGTTTACTTCAAACGCCGCTTTGTTTGGCCAAAGATAATTGTCGTCGTAAACTGTGCAAACAGTAAAATTGACGAGTTACTTAGAACCTGTCATCTTCAGGAAACTCAATCAGGTTTATAGGGTACCGGGTTAAAAACACACCTTTGCGAGTCTTAGCTATGACAACTATGCAAAATTTTCTCTACCATTCGAGGTAGCTCGATTACTTCTTTGCCTCTATAGTCATTTAATTTCTTTCCAAGAAGCAGGTTTTACCCGTAAAGCTCGAAGCAAGGGCTTATTGGGAGACTCAAATAAAACGTAGAAATGAATTAACCATACAGGGATGTTTTTCATCGTTTCGTGTGAGCCATTTGTCATTTATAATTATCCTGTCAACAGTTAATCAAAAGAAAACAAAGTTTTCCATGAGTGAGATTAACAGCCAAATTCCACATGGAATAATTCAATTCCCGTCCCGTTTGCCATTGGTAACGTGACGTCATGCTGACGACAACTCCTGTATGGTCGAAGTTTTGACAAAGAAAAAAAGTTGAAATTCAATGAAATAGAATTGAAGACGCTGATTGGGGATAAATTTCCCCTACTGACGATCTCTTTCAAGAACAAGCTTCAAATTTCCTGATCAGGTGTTCTTCTCTGATCATGTCATGACTTTCAGTGACATTATCGCAGGTTTTGTTTTCTATGTAGGTTTTTCAAGATTCTCCAGAAATGCTGCGCTGGCGGATGGTGGAAAATGTTCATTACCATCTGTCACAGGACCATGCCGGGGACTCTTTATTAAGTGGTTCTACAACTCTGGGTCAAAATCCTGCCAGCAGTTCACATATGGAGGCTGTGATGGAAATGATAACAGATTTGATAGCGAGGCAGAATGCAAATCAGCTTGTGGTCAGTGACAGGTCTGCAGCAACAATTATTATCCTTCACTTACTGGACTGTCAAATGCCGTTTTATTACGCCAAAGGGTTAATTTAGGGTGAGGCTTAGGGAAAAAAACTAGATATACGAGACTTCCGTCCGCTGTTATCTACTGTTTAACCGTGAAATACAGTTATTTTTCTTTTTTCGAAAACTCACCCAAAACAAGTTTGGCCATAATTTATCAAAAGTGTATCAGGTTAGAAGATGCACTTGCCAATTGCATGCGAGGTCTGTTGTATATGGCGTCTTGGTTCTACGAGACGTCACTTCTTCAAATTTTTTTTTAGGATTTCACTTGTTCTTATATAACCTATGTTAACTTCCTCAAGGTTTCTTCAACCCTTTTCGTAATTGGATCCCAATATTCCTTGTCTTATATCTTGAAATTAATCTTACCAAACCACTAATCTAGAAACCACTCGTGTAATTCTTTTAAAGTTCTTCACATCAAAGACTGACACATGAGAAGGAAAGAGTCTCCGAGATTTCCTCAACTTATCAAAATAGGGTATAACATTTTGTTTAAGAAAATGTTACATTTCAGAATTTTTCGGTTCTTCCGTTTTAGTTCATACAGCGTCAATTGCTGTGCGTGACAATAACCAACTCCACAATTTAGAGTACTTTGGTGACTAAGCAAATTTCAGTTTGTCATTAAAAGTGTGTAATTCTTCTTTCTCCGTGTTCTTTTTTGCAAGGAGTTTGTGAATAGTCACAACAGGTTGAAATATAATTTATTTCATTTCAATGTAATAAAATTTAAAAATCTGAAGTGTTTCTCCCTCCCACCTTTACCTTGCTGGGCTCCTTATAATAGCTAAGTCTGTTCAAACAATTTCATTCTTTTTCAGGTTCTAACAATGGTGACCTTTAGTGTGTTTGGAACAAGTAAATAAATTTCGAATTTTCAGCTAATGAAAGCCATTCATTATGGTTTGATGATGACAATGTTATTACGGTGAAATATTTCTGCTAGATTAACAAGATGTACTGTTCGATTCTTGTCGTATTCTGAAAAGGAACATCAATAAAGGGTTATGTTTTACACAGTAGCATTAGATAAGACTATTACTTTATTGTTTCTATCTTGGGGTGTTCCAACTGAACCAGTCTCAGAATACGTTTACTTTTACGAAAAAATAACTGTGTCCGTGGAAACAGACATTACAATTTAATAAGCAAGAGTATTG